CTTCACCGGTATTAGCTCATTACAATCTTACTGCGGAAACTAAAGTCGTAGTAGATGCATCGCCATGGGCACTGGGTGCCGTACTTCTCCAGAAACAAGCCGACGACAATTATCGACCAATCGCGTATGGTAGCAGATCGCTAACAGATATCGAACAGAAGTATGGTCACATAGAGAAAGAAGGATTAGCAATCGTATTCGGATGTGAACACTTTCACATGTACCTATATGGACGTAGTTTTGAATTGGAGACAGATCACCGACCTTTAGAGCATATCTACAAGGCAAAGCTTCAAAGCAAACCAACATCAGCCAGACTCGAAAGATGAAGACTTCGATTCCAAGAGTACGACTTCCACGTTATCTACCGACCTGGCCCATCCAATCTGGCCGATCCTTTGTCCCGACTCCCGAAAGATGGAAAAGATGGAAGCAAGAGGAGCAACATGGAAGCTTGCGCTGACCGATATGTTCATTACATGACACAAGCTCAGACACCGAATGCCATGAAATTAGAAGAAATACAAAGAGAAACATTAGCAGATCCGGAACTCAAGCAGATTAAACAGAACTTGCAAAATAATCAAGTATACAAACTTCCGAAAGCATATAAGCTCATCGCTCATGAGCTCTGCATCACAGATCAAGATATCTTACTTCGGAGTGATCGCAGAACAAGTAGTTGTCCTTACTGACTATTATTCACGCTGGCCAGAAGTCAAAATCTTAAAATCAGTCACGTCCAAAAACATTCTCGACTGGTTACTATCGGTATTTGCAACGCACGGATTTCCCGATGAAATAAAGTCCGACAACGCATCCTACTTTGTTTCTACCGAGTTCAAGGATACATTAACTTCTTGGGGAATAGAACATAAGACGGTGACGGAATATTGGCCGCAAGCCAATGGGCAAGTTGAGAGATTCAATCAAGTTCTCGAGAAACACATCCTAACCGCACAGGCGGAAGGAAAAGAGTGGAAACCCACCATTCCAATCATGCTACTCCACTACCGCAATACTCCTCATAGAATGACCGGAAGAACACCTTCATCATTGCTAATGAACCGAGAAGTCAAGACGAAACTTCCTAGTTTTGAACAACAGACAAACGATGAAACTGAAACTCGAAAGAAAGATGAAGAGGAGAAAGAGAAATCGAAGAAATATACCGACAAGAAGCGAAAAGCAAGTCCAAGAAATCTTGAAGTCGGAAATAAATACTCGTTACTCAAAAACATCGAAACAAATTTACGACAAAGTTTCATCCTGATCCAATGGTAATCACCAAAATAAATGGCACGCAGATAGTGTTAAAAGACAAGAATGGCACACAACATCGCAGAAACTCATCGCATGTCAAGTTATACCAGCAAATTCCTGATCCTGAAGAAGAAATCCAGAGTGCTCGCAAGCATGACAGACAAACGGAAATTCGCGAAGAAAACACCGAAGCAACTCAAACAGAAACCAACCAGAGTACTACAGAAGCGGAAATTGTTCTACTTAGATCAACGAGAAATAGAAAACAACCAGACTATCTAAAAGTAGGTTAAGTTAGTCAGGTTTAAAATGCAGACTGTTGACATTTATTTAGTTTTAAAGAACACGGTAATGGAACCCCCGTAATAGTAATTCCAAGACACTAAGTCTTAGAACGGAACTACAAAGTAAAGAAGTAAAGAACTACATAGAATTAGAGACTATTAGAAACTTAAAAGGTTGATATTATTATAACTATAATTAAGGAAGGGATGTTTGTATCCTAATGCTGATTGGTCTGCTGTAAGTGATTGACATATAAGATTAGGTCACGAGACATTAGATTTGATTAGGAGACACTAAGCCAGAGAGCAAGCATACATGTATAATATAGCAAAGTAAATATATGTTATAAAAGTTGAATAACAGAGGGTATAAAAGTGACACAAATCAAAGATTGGTGGGATGCATTGAATACTCTTGGTCCAAACCTGGGATATTTTCCGAAAGACGAGAAATGCTGAATTATTGTTAAGCCCGAAAAGGAAGAAAGTGTGAGAGAAGCCTTTCATGGAACGGCTATCAATGTAACAGTGCATGGGCAGAAACATCTGGGAGCAGCGCTAGGTTCACGAGAGTATCTGGAGGAATATGTTACATTTGAAAAACATACACCGGAACAAATTGATTCAGATTCTTTACGGAAAGCCGTTTACACGAGAGTTTTCTCCGGATTCAAATGTTTCCGGATACAAAGTTTCTACTTTTTTTCCCGGATTCAAAGTTTTCGGATACGTCCTACAACCAAGATGATTTTCCACCGGATTTGTCGCTGTATGTGTAAACGCATGTATGAATCCGATGCCAAAACGTTTCGGTTTTGTCATGAATCCGGAATCTTTCGCTCTAGTGTAAACGGGGTCTAATCTATTCTGGCAGTTCGTTCCACAGTTTTGGTGCAGCATATACGAGAACGATCGTTCACCATAGTTCACTAGTTTTACTGAGGGTATGGTAAGCAATCCTTTGGATGAGAAGCGTAAATTTTCTGATGGTGTGTAAGGTTTTAGCATATAATTAATGTAATGTGCAGCTGAACCATTCAGAGCATAGATATCTCATATACACTAGATTGTGCATCTAATTATTCGGCAATTCAAAAATTGAAGCCGTGATTGCAGTCTCAGGTCGTTCCCATGAAATGAGAAGATTCGTATGTTTTCTATTTCTTAAACAGGAAACTTAAACATTGAGTTAAACCTATTCCAAATACGTTTTTAAACTATTCAAATGATGAAAGTTATTGTTGTTTTTAAGCGTTTATTGGCAAGTGGGAACGACCAACATGGCCGCCATCTATTCAAATGGGGGTAACCGCTGGAATATTCTCGGCTTCAATTTTTCTAAAAGAGATGCGCTATCTAGTGTATATAAGATATCTATGATTCAGAGATTTATACGTAATAAGAACAATTTTATAGATGATGCGTTGACTGATGGGGAGCCAATGTAATTGTTTCATTAATTAATGGAGTAATATGATCGTATTTTTTGCTTCCTGTCACCAGTCGAGCAGCACAGTTTTGCACATTCATTTGCACGTCTTGAACAATTTTAATTTAATTAAGACATTACGTAATTTTGCTGAGTCATAACTTTACTATATTTATCGTTTACGTGGTATCTAAAAATAGTATGATGTCATGTTTTATTAATATCTTTCGGAGAGTATATAAGCAGCGAAAGCTTAAGCTAGATTCATTCATTCATTCATTCATTCATTCATTCATTCATTCATTCAAATATTCTATTAAGAGATAGTTAAAGATAATAAATTGATATTGTTGAGTTAATTGTTGTTGTTGAAGAACTTTGAAGACTAAGAAGAAGTTATTCCAAATACGAGAAAGCCTCCTTGGCCAGCGCGTGTGGCTGTGTCTGGTCAAGGAGGGCAACGAGCGTAAACGATGAAGATGCAGACACACATTTTTGTTCGTTCTCGCCCGCGAACGTAACAATTGGGGGCTCAGGCGGGAAATCACTCTCTCGGATAAGAGCAGTTGTTTTGTTGTCAGTCTGATGATTGTTCTTTTGGTGTTATATTATTGATGGATCTGTTTCCAGTTTTAACGTCATACAGATGAAATTGTCGACTTAGCCAGAGGCTGAAGTACAAAAGTGCTACGCTGGAGGTTCACTACGTCTTCGTCAAAAGGTTTCTGCTAAGATCGTGCCTAACGTCTACTCAGTGATGCCTAACAGTGGGGAAAGATTTTGTGATTATTGACCACATGTTAGTGGTTTGATACAGTGGTTTTTACACTGGTTTGATACAGTGGTTTGTTGCCCTGTTTTATTACAAAGTTGTAATAGTTTGATAAATCTCCCGTAAGTTAAAGTAATAATTATTATTAAAGTATAAAATGTTGTTAAAATTTAACGATTAAAAAGGGAGTTTGTAATTTATTTAGAAGATGTAGTTCTTCTGTTGTTGAATCTTCCCTATTCTGTTATACTGTTGCTAGAGTTTAAGGACGCTATTCTTGTTGTATTGAGTTTTCTCAATTTTCATTCGTTATAGAATATTTTAAAGTATAATTATAACATTTAAAGAATAATTATTTGATGGACATAATGGAAGTTACGAACAGTTAGTTGACGAAAGTTCTAACAAACTTTCTTTTTTCAAGAGGGGGAGTGTGACGTGAAGTCAGTCACGTCTTGAACAATTTTAATTTAATTAAGACATTACGTAATTTTGCTAAGTCATAACTTTACTATATTTATCGTTTACGTGGTATCTAAAAATAGTATGATGTCATGTTTTATTAATATCTTTCGGAGAGTATATAAGCAGCGAAAGCTTAAGCTAGTTTCATTCATTCATTCAAATATTCTATTAAGAGATAGTTAAAGATAATAAATTGATATTGTTGAATTAATTGTTGTTGTTGAAGAACTTTCAAGACTAAGAAGAAGTTATTCCAAATACGAGAAAGCCTCCTTGGCCAGCGCGTGTGGCTGTGTCTGGTCAAGGAGGGCAACGAGCGTAAACGATGAAGATGCAGACACACATTTTTGTTCGTTCTCGCCCGCGAACGTAACACCGATCAATAAGAAATTTAGGCAATCCGTATAATAAAGAATTACAATTATCCAGTTTCGATGTAATAAAGGCATAAACTAAAGTTTGGATATCTGACGTTGATAAGTACTCTTTTATTCTTGCTATTTTTCTCGAATGGAAAAAACAGTTCTTGCAAATATTGGTAACATGTTTATCCATGGACATGTGTTAGTCGAACGTTACACCAATGTTTCGTGCTGAAGTTTTGTACCAGTGCTCCCAATTTTCCTTCAGTGGTTGACTCAAAAGCGAGATATAATTGTGAGTCATCTGCGTAAAAGTGAAAATCAAGACCATGACCTCTGATGATATCAGAAGTGTATAGTAAATATAGTATAGGGCCGAGAACTGATCCTTGTGGGACTCCACAGCGCAAGTCTTTAGAGATAGATTTAACACCATCAATCACTACACTTTGCGTTCTATTTTGAAGATAGGACTGAAACCATTTCAACACTTGCCCATCTATCCCAAATCTTTTGAACATTCGTTGTAGTAAAAGTTCGTGATCAACAGTATCGAATGCTGCTGACATATGTAGTAATAGCAACACAACACACTTACGATTATCAATGGCTACAAGAATATCGTTTTGTACTTTTAATAGGGTTGTTTCTGCACTATGAAAACGTTTATATGCCGACTGGAAGGGTTCTTCTAGGTTGTTATTAGCCAAATGTTCCAGAAGCTGACCGGCAGCAACCTTCTCAATTACTTTAGACAGGAATTTTAAATTTGAAATAGGTCGAAAATTTGTGTATTCTTTGTACTCCAGCGAATCTTTCTTTAGTTTTGGTTTCAACACGGCTGCTTTTAGTTTCTCAGGCATACAACCTGACTGGTAAAAGAGAACCTTGAAAGATTTTTGCGGGAACTGGATCAAGTTCACAAGATTTTTTACCAACTTTATCAATAACATTTTTAATCTCATGTTCCGTGACTTCTTGAAAGTTAATGAATTTAACGCACTGTACATATTGTTCTCTTGATTTAGCTGATTACAGTGGGAAGAATCAAAGGCTATAGTTCTTTCCGCATAGTAGCAATCTTATTACTGAAGAAATCTGCAAATTTATTCACGAGTTCAGTCGTTGATGACCCATTTGGATAGCGCTTTTCTGACTTTCGATGGAGTAATTTATCAACCGTACTAAATAACATTTCTGATTATGTGCATTATTAGAAATAACCATTGAGTATATGTTGTCTTAGCGGCATTCTGTATCATGGCATTCACTGTCTCACATTGTTTAATTTAACATATTAGTTGTCTGTCAATACATAATCCAGATGCGCGCCAGCGGCGCTCTAGCTTCCTGCGATTTATTTTTTTCTTGACCAATCTCCTCATTGTACCATGGTGGTAAATGACGAAGAGTTATAATTCGTCGTTTTTGTGGAGCATGCTGCTGTAATGTTTCTTTCAACGTATTTTCATATTTATCAATAAGGACTGAGAGATCATAATCATCATTTAAATCTAGTACTTTTAGATCTTCATTGAAACTATCCATGTGTAATGTAATGTAATGTAAAACTTTATTTCAATACGCTAACTTCGACAATTATTTACAACTGGTTTCCACGAAGGGCGTATACACACAAAGAGCTAAATGTTAATTATATATAGAACAAAATATGTAAGAATCCCACCCTAAAATTTTATCATCTTCCTCCCAAACCTCCACCCCCTAAACAAGTACCCACCCACCCTCACGCAAAACTAACCCCCCTCCCGCCCACAATCTATATTGTCCTCCCATCATTTGGTCCTGGAGAAATTAGCTTATCATCTGCTTAAATGCAATTTCGCCATTGTTTTAAATGACGTAATTGACTCAGCCGCCTTGACATCTTGCGGGAGACTATTCCATAGAATTGCTCCACTGTATCCAAATGTTTTCTTTAGAAATTCCGTTTTCGGTTTTTTTAACGAGAGATCAGTTTCGCTATTGCGTAAATCATAAATATTCTGCGATGCATTTCTCCGAGAAAAAAGATCTTTAAGGTTTGGCGCAGTGTGGTTCCCCAAGACTTTATACATCAATACTAGCTTGTTTTGTTCTCGTCTCCTAGCCAGGGTTTCCCAGCCTAATTTGTTTAGGACTTCAGACGATCTTACATCGTAGTCAGCTCCGGTAATCACCCTTGCTGCTCGATTTTGGAATTTTTGCAATTTGTCTTGAAGTCCCAAACCACAGTTATCCCACAGGGGAGAACAGTAATCAAAATGAGGCTGAATTAATGTTTTGTAGACATCATGTAAGGTTTTGTGTGGAACATAAGGTTTTATTCTTTTAATTGCTCCTATTCCAGCGCTAATCTTATGGCATACAGAATCAATATGTTTCTCCCAACTTAATTTTTCATCTAGATTTACACCTAGACATTTAAATGTATTGGTTTGTGGGACTGGGATTTTGTTAATCTCAACGGGTCTATTTCCTATTTTATGATTTAGATTATGCGTAGATCCAATAAACATGACTTTTGTTTTTTTCCTATGATATTTTAGTTTGTTTTTAGCAAGCCATTTATGAATACTGGAAAGGTCCATATTCAAATTGTCAATCAATGTATCGTAATCATGCGAAGAGGAAGATATCTGAGTGTCGTCGGCATAAAGACATGGGGTTGTCCTTTCTAAAATATCAGGCATATCATTAATATATAGCAAAAACAATAATGGACCAAGTATGGATCCTTGCGGAATTCCGCATATTATTGTTCTTGCAGAAGAAGTTTGATCATTAACAGAACACACTTGCTTTCTATTCCTTAAGTATGATTGGAACCATTTTAATTCAATGTCGTGAATTCCAAACTGGGTTTTAAGCTTCTCCAATAATATCTCGTGATTCACCGAGTCAAATGCTTTACATATATCAAGAAAAACAACTCCATTTATTTTGCCTTCATCCATGTCTTGTAGCCATTGATCACACATTTGTATAAGAGCACCTAAGGTTCCATGTTTTGGTCTAAACCCGGATTGAAATTTAGACAGAAGCGCATGTTTATTCAAAAAGCTATATATTTGAGTAAAAACTTCCCCTTCAAATATTTTACTTATTATGGGAAGAATTGAAATTGGTCTATAATTTTCGCATTTACGCTTATCCTCAGATTTGTAAATTGGTATAACTCTAGCCAATTTCCACTCATCTATATAAATACCAGTTCTAATCGATAGGTTAAATATAAAAGTTATAGATGGAGCAATAAGGGTTGATGTCAGTTTTAAAATATTCGCAGGTATTCCATCCATACCTGTCGCTTTTGAGACATTTAGTTTTTGTAGGCGTTTGGAAACACTATCTATAGTAATATCTGCGAAGTGAAAATTTTCTTTAGGAAGAAGCACAGTACTTTCATAAATTACTTGATCATTTAAAGCATCAGTGCTTTGACATGCTGATTCAGCAGCCATCTTCATTCCAATATTTATAAAATATTCATTTAATGTTTCAGTAATAGATTTATCATCAGAAATAATATCATCATTTACTTTCAGTTCATTAATATTTGCATTCTTATGCTTTCTTCCTAAGAGCGAATTTATCCAAGCCCATCCACTTTTACTGTCTCCCATTTGAGAGCTTGCCTGGATTTTATCACAAAAGTACTTAGATTTTGCTTTCCGCATGTTTATATTTACTTCATTACGTAGTGTTTTATACAATTCCCACTGTGACTCCGAATCATATTTTATGGCCTTTTTTTTGTGATAGTCCCTTTTTCTCATAAGTTCTTTAATTTGAGGATTAATCCATGGGACAGGGTTATTCCTTATTCGCTTGTGGCGCAGAGGGGCATGTCTATTAAGTGCATCTAATAATAGTGATTTCCAGACTTGCCAACATAAATTGGGATCTCCAAACTGATAGACCATCTCCCAAGGCAATTGAGACACATCCCGAATGAAATCATTTTCGACAAAGTTTTTAAAGTTACGAACCTGACGAATTTTTTGCCTTCCATTCGGTAGTGTAAATTTTCTCACAGCGTAGACAAGGCTGTGATCTGAAATTCCCAGGTGAATGACACCTGATCTGGAAATATTTTCTGGTCTATTTGTTAATATTAAATCAATTAGTGTAGCTGATTTAGGAGTTAGCCTTGTAGATTCTTTAATAAGTTGGTCTATCTGATACAGAGAACATAAAAATTGCAACTTACATGTGTGAGGGTCAGGTATAGTTTTACTGACATCACAATTTAGATCTCCTATGAGGATTAGCTCCTTATCTTCATTATCACATTTTGCTAAAAAGCTTGCCCAGTAATCAAATTTATTCATAAGAGAATTTGGTGGTCTATACCATGTGCTTATTAGCAGTGATTTATTGTAGGGTAAACTTAATTCAATGCAGACCATCTCAAGTTCATCAGGGATTAGATCTATTCTATCTGAGAATGATATGTTTTGGCGAACATATAGAACCACACCACCACCAAACCTATTTCGATCTTTACGAATTATATTAAAACCATCAATATGTATCTCATTATTTGAAATCTGATTATCAATTTTGGACTCATTAATTGCAAGAATGTCAAGGGCGTTATTGTTAAGGATTAAGCGAATTTCATCCAGATGTTTCATTAAGCTATTTACATTTAAGTTGGCTATCTTCAAACCTTTACTTTTGGCGATTATGTTAATTTCACTATCTATGCCTAATAAAGAATTGCTTGGCACATCTTGACAATTTACTTGTTCACGTTCATTATCGCATTTAGTAGTTCTGCCAGATGGTTTATCGTGTTCTTTGGAAAATCCTGACGGGAATGTTTTTGTGGGCGCAGTGAACGTAAGGATTGCCCATCCCTAAGGAACTTAATAAAATGTGTAGCTAGTATGGCAGTCCCCTTTGCATTTAGATGCAGGCCACTAGAGTTCAAACATGTCTCATCTATTGACATATTACTTATAAATGTCACATCATGCTTAGATGACAAACTCTGAACTTTCTCATTAATTTCTTCTATTTTTGATATTAAATCACTATCCTGTCTCAATGTAAGTCCAGAAATTCCAATTTTAGAATTAGGGAATTTCTGTTTAGCTGTTGTAATAAGTTTTTCCATGTTACCAACACATTCGTCTATAGATTCAACAGGGACATCATTTGTCCCTGCGTGAATAACAACATGAGACGGGTCCGGTTTAATATTAATTTTGGCAAGCTCATTAGTTATTTCTATAGTTGTTTTACCTGGATATGTGAATTTATAAACTTTCCTTTTTGAGAGTTTTACCGGACTAACATTTTTGATTATTGAATCCCCAATAAGTGCAATACCTTTCTTTGGTACTCGATCACTGTTACCACTTGTACCTTGCGTTCTGTCATCCTTGGGCTCTGTAGATTTACTTGTACTCTCAGACATATTTTGACTAGGTGTTGGTTGTTGTATATCAGAATCAATATTAATTACGGAAGCATCAAAGTCACTGTTATTGTTTAGTTCATTTGCCTCGTCCTCTAAAGACGAGAACTGGTTGTGCAGCCTTGTAACCTCGTTACCTTTTTGATTCTCGCTTCTTGTATGAACCGTACACCATGGATTTCTTGGTTGAGTCGTTTGACTGCGAACGTTGTCCCCTACATCTTTAACAGCATTAGCACAATCCTCATTCATTAACCGAATAACCGTCACGAGACTAGCTTTTTCGCTTTCCGCAGCTACTAATTTAGAACTGGTTTCGGACAATAGACATTCAAGTTTATGTACGTCAGATTTAAGTGCCATATTTGCTTTTTTTAATAAGTCGTTTTCTTGGGCAAGTTGATTATCTCTCACTTGGCTATTACGAATTTCATACCCATCTACAAGCTCGTTCAATACTATGGTCGTTTCGGATTTATATATTTCAAATTCGTTAGACAATGCATTCAAGCGATTCATAACATCATCCAGTGCGTTTCCCTCCACACATATCGAAATTTCTTTAAGGGTTTGCTCAGATCCATTTGTAGCGCCATTATTAGTTGAAAAGTGTGCAGAGTCATTTTGAGAAGCATCAAAATCCAACAGTTCAGCACTCGACATGTTCGTATTTACCATAAAGTTATTAATATTCGGCAGGGAAGGCATATGCGTGGGTGATACATCAGCAAAGTCGTCAACTCCCAAATTGCTTATGTTATTCGGTGAAATAGTGGCTATTCTTTGCAGAATATCGGAGTATTCATCTTTCATTGGACCATCCAACAACACACTTCGGTTTTCGTACCAGCGTACAGTGATATCTTTCGTCTTCAGCTGTTTACAACCGCCACGCGGAACCTTCCACTCGCCTTTGATGTTTAATATGTCATTAACAAATTTCTCAAATAAATCAAAATCACCAAGCCATTTAAGTTTTCTATTTGTGAAACTTAGTGGATTTATTTTAGTTATGTCACCTTGAGACATATTGATCGGTTTTAGCTTAGTATATCTTCAAAAATATCGCAGAGCTTACAAGACACGTCCGTTCATCTTGGCTTAGCGGATCATGCAGCGTGTATCGTGTATATTACATCGATAATAAATTTCAGCTTGTTCTAATGGTGGTTTCTCTAACTGCAATGTACAATGTATGGCAAGATGATCTGATATTACTGGATCATGTATTCTGATACCAGTCACTAATTTATCTTCATTCTTTATAATCAAGTCTAATGTGTGGCCTTTCTTGTGGGTTGGCCCATTGACGCGCTGTTGTAAATTAAACGATTCCGATATCTTGTTGAGTTTAATAGTATCTGGATCTCCAACGTTATCCATATGAAAATTAAAGTCTCCTGCCATTAATATATTGCCAGGTAATATGATCAACTGTTCCACAAATATGCAGAATTCTTCAAAAAATATTGAACTGCTTAGTTTATTAGTCTTCGATGGCGGTGGTCTATAAATGACAATCATTCTGGTGCGAGTATTACGGCAGTTCAAGGTGACGTCAATATATTCAAAAGAAGAGAATTTTCTCTGAGATTGTTTTTTTACTTAAATATATTTCTTCAGTAAGAGACTCCACCTCGTGCATTTTTGCTTGTAACATGATAAAAGTGATACCCCGTTGGGTAGATTTCAGCAATAGAAAATTCATTATCATCCTCACATAACCATGTCTCAGTCATTGCTAGAATATCAATATCGTTCTCAGACGCATATACTCATGCATTAATAAAAAGTTCTTTCCTATTTATTGGTTACGCTTGTAGGAGGGACAACTTTTATGGATAACTTTTCATTCCTAGGCCTTCAAACCAGGAGTCACAATCTCATTCTTAGAGCCATTCTCGTGGGAGGTGATACAGTGCCAGGGCTATATAATTTTTCTCATATAAACGTGCGGTGCAGTTGTCTCCGGGGGGGGGGGGGTACCCGAGACCATATAAACAGCGCCCAAGTCACGTATGTAATTAGTCGCGTATGCACGCCAAAAAAGTGAATATAGCCAGGAGGCAGCAAAAAACGGGTGGTGAAACGCGCAGATAAATGACCATACTGCCTGTGATGCGTCGATAGGATTAGTAACAGTTATACGCGCTTCTGATTGACAAATTGGTACCTTCTAAAGAATTGTCCGTTTTGCTTCCATATTAATTGGTTGTCTATAATCGGGGAATAAAGGAACTTTTACCAATTTCGATTGTTTACCGATAATGCAATAATCGCATCCTGATGCCCATTTCGATTATTGATCAATCGCTATACTGACGAGGTACTATATAGCCAAGTTTGTTTAACGTTGAAGTACTGTTTAATAAACGAGTAGGAGTGTTTTATCACATATAAAACACGACGCGTAGCGGAGTGTTTTATATGTGATAAAACACGAACTACGAGTTTTATCAGCTTCAAAAACGTCTCAGTTAGATCACGGCATTGGCGAAATAATTTTCCAAAATAACTTTGTATTAGCTGAGAAAATACAAGTTGAAAAATTGAAACGTGTTTTATCACATATAAAGACACGCCACGCTTATGATTTCTCTTTGTGTTTTCCTCATGAATTATTAATGCGTTTTTTGAAGGTATTTTAAATCACGATATTAAACCACTTTGTCGGTCATAATGACTGTCACCGATCAATTGTGCTTGCTGTTTACAATATTTTTCCATGATCAACAGAAACTAAAAACTTCGTCGTCAGGAACAAGAAACTACATGACAAGAAACTATACCCAGCAAGCCCCCCTCACCCCCCTTCCACCCAATAACAATTTGCTTCCAACGGCACTGGTCAGTATAAATCATACGCAATATTTGCCGATTGACACAATGTTTTTCAAACTTAAATCATATTCGTTCTAATCTTTTATTAAAATTTATTGTATTCAAATTGAGTGCGGAACATTAATATTTATGTTTAAAATTTCAATTTAATTTTATTTCATTTTAAGGAGGCTCCCTACAGTTTCCAATATATGTCAGTGTTTTAAACTAAAAAAATAGATTTTTAGATTCAAATAGCTTTTAGTTTAAAAACTGATATATATATATATATATATATATATATATATATATATATATATATATATATATATATATATATATATATATATATATATATATATATATATATATATATATATAGACGAATGTCAATAAGTATATTGAGTGTCGAATCATAAGAATAGAGTGCTCGATACAAAAGTAGAGCAAAAGATCTAGACAAGCTTGAGTTACTTCGTTTAAAACATTTATTCACAACAAATTTGTTTCGTATGGCAAGCTAGGCTTGCCACACTCATCAGGTGAATGGTGATATCGCGTATTTACATGATGTTATAACCTATAGGTAACTTGAGCTGTTATAT